GATGGATTTTCCTTCTCGCTGACGTTACAGTGCCCATCATTGGCACGGACCTACTTCATCTTCATGATTTACTCGTAGACGTCAGCCGAAAACGACTGATTGACAATACTACTAGTCTGTCTATCAAAGGCATCAGCTACATAGGCCCTAGTTTGTCACCCATTAAGATAAAGGCAATTCTTGATCCAACTTCTCAACCTATGGTTGACAAGTATCCGGAGCTTAATTGCCCGTCGAACGACCTACGGTGCATAACCAGCAATGTTATGCACCACATCATTACCACAGGACAACCTGTGACATCTAAAGCACGACGATTAGCTCCTGACAAACTGAGAATCTCCAGGAATGAATTTGACCATATGCTTACCCTTGGCGTCATTTGACCTTCGAATAGCCCATGGGCATCCCCACTTCATATGGTTCCGAAAAAGGATAGCAACGATTGGCGACACCGGGGATTACCGGCGAGTGAATGCCAAAACAACCTCTGATTGCTACCCGTTGCCTCATATTCATGACTTAACGGCAACCTTATCTGGCGCGACTATATTCTCTCTAAATCGACTTGGTTAAAGCGTGTAACCAAATCCCAATGGCAACAGAAGATATCCCGAAAACGGCTATTATTACCACCTCCGGACTTTTCGAATTTCTACGTATGCCATTTGGTCTCCGGAATGCAGCCCAAACATTCCAACGCTTCATTGACGAAGTATTTCGCGGTCTCGACTTTGTATACACATACTTAGACGACTGCCTCATCGCCAGTCCAGACAAGGAAACTCACCTTAGGCACCTGGACTTGGCATTTGAAAGGTTACGCCAACATGGTGTTATCATTAATACTCAAAAGTGTCAAATCGCTGTTGACACACTCGACTTCCTGGGTCACACTATTGACTGCAAGGGCATTCGCCCACTGGCTGCTAAGGTCGAGGCTATACTGAACTTTCCAGAGCCACAGACGGTGAAAAGTCTCCGCACTGTTAACGGCTTAGTAAGTTATTATCGACGCTTTATTCCCAACTGTGCCTCTTTGATTCAGCCATTGACAGACCTCCTTCGAGGGAATAACAAGTCCATAGAACTTGACGCGTCTGCTCGAAATGCTTTTACCCAGGTTAAAAAAGCTATTGCGAATGTCACACTTCTGATGTATCAGGATCCAACGACACCGTTAAGTATCTCGGTTGATGCATCAAACACTGCAATCGGCGCAGTTCTACAACAGCTAGTTAACAAAGAGTGGCAACCACTCGCCTTTTTCTCGAGGCGCCTTCAATTAGCTGAAACGAAGTACAGCACATTCGGCAGAGAACTTCTGGCTATGTACTGTGCTATACGTCATTTTCGACATTCAGTAGAGGGTCGTGAATTCATAATTTTTACTGATCACAAACCTCTGACGTACTCTCTGAACTCACCTTCAGATAAGTATTCACCTAGGGAATCACGACAACTGGATTATGTCTCACAGTTTACATCAGATACTCGCCATGTATCCAGAGTAAACAATACTGTGGCAGATGCCTTGTCACGCGTTTGTTCCCTCACCCAAATCGATGGCATAGACCTTGTAAAACTGGCTCGTCTTCAAAAAGAAGATACCGAGCTTCAATATGAGTTGTCGAAAACAACTCTACAATTAGCTGAGAAACCCTTTGGTATGGGAAGATATACTATGCGACATTTCCACGAGTACTCCTCGCCCCATCGTGCCTAAAAGTTATCGCCATAACTTCGTTTTCATCCCGGTGTGAGGATACAGGCTGTCTCCGGGTGTTATCGCGCAATGCCATCGGTTACCGCGCTCACGGCAACAGACGTTATAATCGCCTATTTTTTGGAAATATATTATATTTCACTAGTTTTAGACTTCTGCAGCCGGATAGCAGTAATTTGCTGTATTTTGTTCTTAGTAGAGCGTAAAATTGTATACTATAGCTCGGACGAATTATCAATGAAGAAGTCATCCTTTTTAAGAAAGTTCGCATAGAAGGACTATTATTTGCGATCAAGTGCGTTGAGGGTTTGTTTTTTAGCGAGTTGTTTCAGATCTTAAGGTTGTAAATATACTGCAGTCAATGGCTGTTGTCATTCCAGTGAATCTATTAGAATCTGGCCTATGAAAGAGAAATAGCATGCAGACATAGGTTAGATGTGTGCTTTGAACGTGTTAAACGTTTCTGTTATCATCCGGGATGACTGAAATGCTCGTAACACATCGACGACATTATGCGATGAATGAGGTAGGCAGCTGAATTTCCTGATGATTATATCTATTTTGATGAAGTTCCTAGTTAAAAGTGCTTTGGCGAAGATGTGGTAATAGTTTAATTGACATTTGCACATGGAATTTCACAAGGCCTTAATTGCTCAGTGCATGAAATGGCATCAGAGTATATTGACATCATTGTTCATCGTGTCTCGAAGAATAGTATAAATAGTCCTTCTCAAATGTCAGAGTACTTAAAATTAGTACCAGATTTCTGTCGATTAGTAGCTAGCAGCTGTGTCATACAACTACTACACCTGTTACACAGGTTACATCAATCTTAATAATTATTTTGCTTCACATCACTAAGATATTCTGAGATCCTTAATGACTTAATTGTGGCTATGAAAGATGTAGAAGATGCACTTATGGCTCATACATTTAAAGCAGTTATTATTAAACAAGTTATCTGTAAGCAACTTGTGATGTTCTGAATACTGCAAACTGTTGATAAGAAACTACATCAAAGGAAAAAATGCTGAACAGCTAGAAAATACTACTGCAGTTTCGTTGGTTGTTACCTTTTGCATTTGTAACTCATCCTTCCAAAGCTGCGACTGACGCCAAACCATCCATGGTACCCCACAGGCCCTATAGAAATTTGTGAGAGATATTACATGTCAGGTTGTCTTCCGAATTGTAAGGTTGCAGATCTTTCAATTTATCTCTCACTGAAATATCACTTATCTACATCACTATGGTCTTTTCATTTGTGCACTATTACAACGCATTTTATGTTAACTGGATATGCCTTTATTAAGGCTGAGACTTACTCTTTGTGCCTATTAGTTGCTTGCTTACAGTCTATTTGTTTTTATTAGAAACACAACAACACCAGTGTTTGAACAAAGCTGTATTTTCATGGAAAACGTCATATTTTCTATGCTTACACCAATATGGTTGGCATTAAACATTGCAAATGTATACTCACATTCCAAGGACATAGCACTTAGCCAAATGTACGGTGTTCATTGTTAAGGGTTTACAATTTAACTCTTATAATTTATGATACTTCACGATTGCAGTTTATAACATAACTTATTGCGCCTGTAGAAATGACATGCATTCTTTGTAAACATTGGTTTATACGAAATTTGAAATTATTATTATATGCTTGCTGCTATCCTCTAGAAGATGAATAATGTGTGCGGCAGTGAAAACCACAGGAGAATGCTGTCATGAACAAAGAATGAGAAAGGAGAATGAACCATTTTCAGCAAAGGTAGGCAAATATAAAGCGTTTAACTTTGATATTACTTCTTTCTTACTTCAGCGATTTAAAAAACACTCTGTTTACTTATTTGTAGATATGCGGTAACGTCAGTCAACCCGGTCACAGAGATTCGACATTGCCCCAATTATTACGACAAACGACTGCGTAAAGACATTTGCTTGTTGTTATTTTTCATTAAATACATTTAATATCCTGCTTACCAGACCTTTCTTATTATATCTGAGTGTAGATATATTTGCCATGATGACTAGGTGCAGACATGACTTATTAATAAGAACTGACGAAGTAATTGGTGGCATATTTTAGTGTAAGCTAAATCTAAATACGATTGCTAAAGCTCAACGAATTCAATAATTCGTCTGGTGTAGACTTTAATTTACGCTACATGTCAACAGCCTTAGTCATATGGATTGACATCACGCTTAAATTTACATGAAAATTTTATTTTCATTATGATACAAATTTAGTTTATTTACATATTAAGAACACGATTGATTCCTGAGATTACTCCGTCTGCATAAGTATTGGCAAACACTTCTCCAAATTTGTCATTAATTCTCTTCATGCCCGCAATGATAATCCTATTTTTGGTATCCAATAAGTCATGTTCATTTCGAGGGATAACTGCTGACGTACTTTGAGATGCGAACAAGTTGCGTGACCACGTCCATTGTTTACAATTATGCATGACATGGTTAACTACAAAAGGTGGAACAAAAAACGTTAAGATAACTATGAACTGATTATTACAGGTGCAATGATGGTAGTGCTTGTGTCCTGTTTCCAGTTAACGCATCGTACACACGAATACGGTAATGAAAATTACAACTTTCCGTATATTAGAACAATAATTAATCAAGTTTCGCTCGACATACATTAAAAACGGGGTCATAAAAACGCAAATATACCTGTGAAATATGGCTTTCTGAAATGGACCAAAAGCAAGTGTCTGCAGGGGTACCGACAGGTCTGAAATGTAACGCACGTGCAGGTGCAAGCACTCAGATCCACCTCCACTCGATTCCCGTTGTCTTGGAAGAATACATAATCGAAGGATTCAACCTCAACAACAGCCCATCTTCGCCTTTCGTATTCACGGATAACCTTCCTCGCAGGGTATGGCGTCAGCAATCGTATAATTGGGAGTAGACGTGGTGAACAGGGATAGGTGAAGCATCGCGACTGAGCAATAGTCGCCTCCTGCTGTATCCTTGCAAAACTTTGTTGATACCATTTAAACACCTTCAGCATACTTTTATGCAAACTATCTGATCTTTGTAAGTAACGTTTCATTTGCTTGTGGGAACTCTCGACGCGATTATTTGTATCGTTCCCAAAAGTCAGCACGTTATCTCTGAAACATGCTGCCCACAATTGTCGTCGATGCATCCAACGACGTTGTAGATATTGACTGACAGTAGCATCCAATCTGCTAATAACTCTGAAGTAGAGATTAAATCTGGAAAATGAGAACATTAGAGGCATTACTCTGATCTCCTTTTACACTGCACTAGACGGCATAAATAATTCTTCACAATGGGATTTCTTGTCTACGAATAAAATGTAAAGTATGCTTTGGAAAACTTACTTTACGACAGAATGCTCGGCAAACATGGAAAGAACACAAAACAATGTGCGCTTCTCTGTGCGTTAACTTGACGGCTGCTATTTCAGCTTGCTCACAATCCATAATGAAAGATTCTGTTTTGGAGGTGTCTTCCATTATTCGAGGAAAACAGTCTAATATCCAAACTACATCACGTTTGAATTCTTTTCTAGTCCACGCAAATAAAACTGGTCGTTCGCGACCAAAATTATCCGTCACAAGTAACTGGAACAATGAATACCTGCACGTTGACTAATGAATTGGTAAACTTACTTCCCCTTATTCGTATTATACATCGAGTCGATACCAACAACTTCAGGGAACTGTTTATACAATTCCATTTGCTCATAAGTTGCAAAACAAATTCTTGTTAGTGAATTCCTGATCGGTTCATCGGAATAATACTCCATTAACTTCCCACGGGATTTTAGGAATTCAAAAATGTCACGACGACTTGAAATACCTTAAGTATATAACAAGTACGTCAACGTTACCTTTATTCACTGCGGCTTTCATATTTTTAACGTCAATGCGAGTTATATCCTTGTGGTACTTCTCCTTAACATGCATTATTATTTCATCGGATGAGTGGGATTGCTGAAGAAGTGGTTCAATATTTTCTTTCTCTTCAACTGTTAGTCGTCTATACCATGGGTCATTCTGCATGTACACCCTGCTGCATGGATGGTTATGCACCATATTGTGGGAAGCAATTATGTATTCACTATAATGCAAAACCACGCGAAATGAAGACGAGCAATTGCAACATTTAGACCTGAAATATTCATGAAATCATATTACACTTCTTCTTACGACTTGTTTTTCAATTTCAATCCAGGTCTTGTACGATTCACTCCAAAAGTGCATTTAAAACCAACATAAGCGTACTTAAACCTGTCATCCGGTATCGTTTTGCTGCAATTATGAACATAGTGAGTGCAGGATAACTACACTGTTAGCATTAAATGACTTCCTCACTTTTTGAAATTCTGCTAATGACTTCTCAAATTCATCCCAGCTGAAGAAACGCCTTCCAAGTATGTATTCAGCAAAAATTCCACTTAAATCTGTGCTCCTGTCACTCGAATTGACTACCTGCAACGGACTAAAATAAAATTATCAATTAGGATCCATCTATGTCACAACTATTCCAAGATAAATCGTAAACAAACAACATCGAAATACAGGGATGATCGATAACCATCAAGAAAATACCGCACGTATAACCTAAATTACAGAAAAACACAAGAACCCACCGGTTCGTTGACATCGCAAGCAACCAATAGACCAAACAACGAATTGTACGACAAATAAAGCCTAGTACATGCACAAACAAAGAAAAACAAAGCGTTACAATAGTCTAATACACGTTTATAGTAATCACATATGCTGGCAAACGACGCAAACACAACCACGCAAAGACAGCACCCGACAGCACGCACCCAAGGACAATTCAAACTCCAATTGACCGCCACCATTCTAGCCAATGAAAGACGAAAAAACCTGAGTCGCGGAAAATATAACACGAACCCACGTATATCCTCACCCTTCATCCCGTGGCTGTCGGCACACGATAACCAACCAATATTGAGGTAAGTACAACGTTTACAAGGGATTGAAAGCTGTTTTAGAAAAGTAAAAGTGCCAAGGTGAATCAATAAAGTGTAATGAAATAGGTAAGTGCAAGTATCATTAATAAATGCATTAATAAAAGAAACTACCTAGGCTGACAACGTTCATTTGCAATGTATAATGCTTCCTGTACAGTTTGCACTATCATGATGTCCACTTTGGGTTTTGATACATTTATCATCATGCCAGTTGTTTTTATTTTTTAATTTAATTTTTTTTTGATTTACAGCTGATTCCGCACTGTATTTTCGGTACAAGTATGGAATTTTCAGCATAGATATCGGTAGCCCAAATTTTGCAGGCCGACCATAGATATCAGGTGTGCGTCGGTGCGGGCTCGGACCCCGGACCACGTGCATGGTCGGCGAGAGTCCTAACCACTGTGCCACCGACGCACATATAACTTTTAGTGCATTTAGTGCACAACCGTACCCTTCAGAGAATAGGAATAGAATAAGTCGAATCAAATAAATAAAGAGCTATAAAATTTTAGGTTTAATGGGATATAATGAGGATCAAGTAAAGACGTTATTAGAAGTGAAAGAGATAAGACATTGTAAAGTGGTATTTAAAGATCTGACAAGCTGCAACCGCGCGAACTTTGAAAAGGGAGTTAATTTTCACGCTCTTGTTTATAATGGGCTTTTGTTGTGTTATACGCTTCGAAAGTCCACAGATTTAACTTTTAATCAGTTTATTCTGATCGAAGTTAGTTTACGTTTCAGATTTGAGTCTATTAATTATAGGAAGTTGTGTTCTTATAACATAATAGCTACATATATATATCATTGTGCACTCATTAGCTTTTATCCCTGATTTAAAAAGGTTATATATATATTTGAAGTTGTTTTTAACTTTTCCTGGTTTGTTTTAAATAAAATGCGTCTATAAAAAGAAACCGCTGCGGAAGGGCTATGCGCCAGCTCCCAGTGGATTAGGGAATGCAGTGTGATAACTGCAAGAGATGGTTTCACAGTATGTGCACGAACCTTACTCCAGCAGCATACAAACGCTGCTGCAAACCTCTAGCGAACTGGTTGTGCAACGACTGCTGTAGTACAACTAAACTCCGTATTACAGAAGCCATAGCTACTCTTAGTGGGGCTTTAAAGCTCATGGACTGCAAGCGTCCTCCACCACAGAAGAATACCGACTATTGCTCAGATAGCGATGACGTGACTAGCGTCATTGACAAAACAGCACATGTCCCAGATGCGACCTTGCCAATAAGTGAGTGCTCTACAGCACAGAAGAACACCCACCACATTACAGACACCCAGGTCGCCCCCACGATACTGGATGAGCCCTCCAGTGACAGTAATGGAAAGACTGCCGTGAAGAAGAGGCGTACTAGGGGTCGAAAACCTGCAGCTCCAGTCGCCCAGGGACTGGCGGAACAAGCCTCATCCACACCGGTGAGCAGCAGACAGACGAACCCCATTAAGATTAGCGAGGAGGACGCCAATGAATGGCGCACCGTAGTCTCTCGCAAAAAGCGAGATAAGGATAACACTTCGGCCACACCGCCCAAGAAGGATAGAAACACACTTACGCCTCAGGGCAAGAAAGTCACGGAAAGCAAACCCGATCTCTCTGACAGGTCTCTCATTCTCCACAAAGTGGAGGAGTCACTGGCCCTTGACCCTAAGACCAGATTCGAGCATGACCTTAACTTGGTCAAGCCCCTTTTAGACAAGCTACTGCCACAAACAGTATCAGGCATTACTATACACAGCGTATACAGAATAGGTCAAAAGCCTGACCCTACAGTAAGTGAACCTGTACGTCTCCTCAAAGTCGTACTAAACTCTAAAGCAGAGAGGGATGCTATTCTAAGCAACTCTCATATTCTCAAAGGATCAGGGATATATGTCCGCGCTGACTTAAGCCTAGCAGACCGTGTCAAAAGACAGGCTGCGGCACTAGAATTAAGTGAGCGACGCCGGAACGGTGAGAAGAACCTTAAGATTAAGGGTTTTCGGGTTGTCCGAGTTCGCAGTTTAATGATCCCGAAACCTCTGTGGGTGGGCCGGGGAAGCACCAATCTGAATTAACAGTCTGCTACACAAACGCCCGCAGCCTGTTAAATAAAAGGACTGAGCTGGCAAACATGATAGAAACCGGAAACCCGGATGTAATTATTATCACAGAGACATGGCTCACACCCGATGTCACTGACAACGAAGTTAACCTGCCAAACTTCGAAGTGCACAGGGTAGACCGACTAAACCGCAAAGGAGGTGGCGTAGTCATCTACCTCAAGAAAGGCTTAACCGTGCGTAGTATCGAAGCACTCGCCCACGAAAGTGAGTCGTGCGAACTTCTACGCTGCAGACTTAAATGCATAGGCCAAGACATTGACCTCATTGCTGTGTACCGCAGTCCTGACTGCAGTGCAGACGACTTCCTAATAGAGAAGCTAGGCTCCTGGACTTCAAAATGTCGAAGTCTCGTAGTCGGTGACTTCAACGCCCCAACAGTTGACTGGTCGAGCCTAACAACTCCATCTTCAGTCAACTCCTTTGATCATAAACTGCTAGAATCTAGTATATCGCTAGCCCTAGTCCAACATATCATTAAGCCCGCGCGCTATGACTCACAGCACTCCTCGTCAACTCTGGACCTAGTGTTCTCACACGGTGAGGATGTGGATCTCATACAACATCTTCCTCCGTTAGGAAGAAGTGACCATGCTGTGCTCACTTTCAAGTTCACAGCAACGGCAGCAAGGGCCAAAACCCCAGCTCGACCAAACGTTTGGAAAGCTGACATAAATGCGATCGTCTCAGCAGCCAACTCAGTAAACTGGTACATCAATCCAGAGTCCCAAGTAGAAGCCGCATGGAACCAATTTAAGCAACTTTACGCCCAAGTAACTGTACCCTTCATCCCTTGGTCTGTTCCAAAGGGTCGGAAACATTCCCCCCTTGGATAAACCGGGAGATTCGTAAGTTACTCAGACGTAAACGCAAATGTTGGAACCTGTTTGCAACACTTGAGACTTCTGAGACCAGGGAATTATATACTACTGCTAGAAATAAAGCTATCGCAGAAATCCGCCAATCAAGGATGAAGTTCGAGACACACCTGGCCCAAAATGCAAAGGCACAACCTAAGAAAATTTTCTCGTACTTGAATTTCAGGAATAAAACACCCAATGGTGTCCCAAACCTGATTATTGACAAAGATACAATCGAAGAAGATCAAGAAAAAGCAGAAGCAATGGCAAACTACTTCTCCCAAGTCTTCACTCAGGAGTCATCACTGCCTATAGGATCAGCTCTGGCTGCATCAGAAGAACATGGGATAGATTCCGTTGACATCGACCAAGGCATCGTGCTCAACTTCTTAATGAAACTAGATGCAGGAAAATCAATGGGTCCTGATAACCTTCATCCAAGGCTTCTCAAGGAGCTATCAGCCCACATAGCCGGCCCCTTGACCACGATCTTCAAGCTATCTCTCCTAAATGGAGTGTTGCCACGTGATTGGAAAGACGCCATAGTAACCCCCATACACAAAGGAGGATCAAGACAAAGCCCTTCAAATTACAGGCCTATCAGTCTCACCAGCACTTTAATCAAGACACTGGAAAGAATTATCAAGAAAAGCATCATGGCTTATCTGGAAAATAGCAGCTTGTTATCTGGAGCACAGCATGGCTTCCGGAGGAACCTCTCATGCCTGTCAAATCTCCTGACTGCAAGAGAAAGCTGGGTCAAATCAAAGGACAACAGAAGACCCGTTGACGTCGTCTTCATAGACTTCAGTAAAGCCTTTGATAAAGTACCTCACAAAAGACTACTCATGAAATTGGAAAGTCTTGGTATCAAAGGCAGACTACTAGACTGGCTCAGGGAATTCCTCATAGATAGGAGGCAGAGGGTTAGGATCAACTCAAAACTCTCCTCCTGGACAGCAGTAAGTAGCGGAGTGCCACAAGGCACGGTTCTCGGTCCTCTCCTTTTTATTCTGTATATCAATGAGTTACCTCTGCTCACCGACTCCCCTATGGTCCTATACGCAGATGACTTAAAAATTTGGAGAGAGCTGAAGGGCAACAGTGATACGCTCACGTTGCAAGAGGACCTCAACAAATTGTCGGAGTGGTCTGTTGAATGGATGCTCCCGATCAATGTGGCAAAATGTGCAACCATGCGCATTGGACAAGCAAGCACGAGCTCCTACGAACTAGAGGGAATAACACTTCCATCAGTTCAGACTCACTTGGACTTAGGTGTCATAGTTAGCCACGACTTAAAAACTACAGCACACTGTCGCGCGGTGGCTGCACGTAGTTTCAGGTCCTTATGGGCGATTCGCAGAGCCTTTACAAGAATTACCAGAGATATGTTCACCTCCTTATACACATCTCTGGTTAGGTCAAGACTGGAAAACTGCATCCAGGCCGCCAGTCCTTGTCTAAAAGGGGATTCACACATTCTAGAAAGTGTTCAAAGGAAGGCAACACGTATGGTTCACGGCATAGCTAACTTATCATACGAGGAAAGACTAGATAGTTTAAATCTCTTCTCACTGTCATACCGTAGGCAGAGAGGAGATTTAATCACAATGTTTAAAATTTTAAATAATGACTACGGACCTGACCTATTCTCTCTTTTCCTTCCCACCAGGTCGGAACACCTTAGAGGACATAGCAGGAAAGTTCAAAAGCCAAGGAGAAATCATATTGCTGTTGAGTACTGGTTCTCACATCGAGTCATAAACTCTTGGAACCGACTCCCAGAAGAAGTGGTGTCTGCAACCTCAACTGATTCGTTCAAG